ACATGAGGATATAAAGAGAATTATGCCTAAATGGCTACCTGACTGAGTCAATACCAGAAGACCTTTTTTTAACACGGCAAAGTTATGGGATCAAAATTTTCATTTTGCAAAGTAATTTACTAATAGTAGTTCACAACGGCACATGTCAAGTGATCCAAAACGAAAAACTCAGCGAGGCGTTTGGAGTAAACATAGGAGTTAGACAAGGGTGCTTATTATCTATCACCAATGATATTCCTAATTGCGGTGGACTGGATTATGCGCCAGACAGTGGGAAACGAGCAGACAGGGATATCCTGGATCGACGTGAAGAACCTAGAAGACCTGGATTTCGCTCGTGGATGATTTATGTTTGATGTCACTGTCACAAAATCGAAGACTTACAAGCGAAAACTGACAAACTGGTGGAAGAAGCAGCCGGCGAAGACAGGACTCCAGGTGAACATAGACAAGACGGAGGTTATGAAAATAACCAACTGCAGCAACATCCATCGTCAATCACCATCAACGGGAGGGATCTGAAAGGGGTTACTTCATTCACTTATCATCTAGAGAGCATTGTCTCAATGTGGTGATTGACTATTTCTATCTCTGTATTGTTTAAATACTTACTGTTGATTGTTAATATGTCTCTTATATGAATTGCATTTTAATTCCGCAAAATACAAATTCCTGAATTCCGCCCTCTCTGTCTTTTGGTTGGATTCTTGTAATTCAGTCATCTCGAAATACTAATACCATGATTACAAATAATTACAACACTGAACTACAGAAAAAATGGACGAGGATGCCAAATCGAAAATCAAGAAGGCGAGAAACACATTCATCCATCAACCTGAAACCGATCTGGAAATCTTCGTCACTCAGCCACCATCAACAACAAAATTCGGTCGGATTTTCAATACAAACGACGTCAAGTCAGTCAGCTCTTCTATACGGATCAGAAACTTGGCGGGTGGGCGGGTCACAAAGAATATTTCCAACAGCCTGTTGCATACAGAGCTTTATCAACAACCTACTGCGTTCGCTGGCTCTATACTGAAGATCAGATGGCCGGGCCGGAAAGAATCACCAACAAAAAACTATGGGGAGAGACAAAACAAGAACCAATCGCCAACCAACAAATATGCAGAGAAAGTGGAGATGAATCGGACACTCACTGAGTGAGGAGGCCACTGGGTGACATCGCGCGCGCGTCTGGCCATTGGTCGAGTGGAACCAGGCCGAAAGGGAAGGACGTGGCGTGTGGGACGTCAGTGCAAGAGTGACATGGAGGAGATCGTGTGAGTTGGAGAAATTGAAAGAGTATGGACTAACATGGATGGATGCAGGTGAAGAGTACAGCAGAAGGAAGACAGAAGTGGCAAGTGGAGACGTGCAGTTGAAGCCCTATGATCCATAAGGAATCCAAGGGAACAAAAATAATAATTCACATACTTCGACGTGAAATTCGACGACACAGTTTCTTTTATAAAACGAAATTACTCCTAAATTCCATCATCACCGCGTCCTTCCACGTACTCATATAATGTTGTAGAACTATTTCATCCTATTTCGTACGTATTAATGCATGCTTAGTTTTTCTCTAAGCAACTCATCTCTCAGGATTTCATCATGAACTGACGTCCGTTAGAGGACTATTCGAAAACCTGAAGGGAGTACTGGACAACTGTTTCCTTTGTTCTGGTTATGACTCTTCAGCGGTATGCAGCCACAGATCTTCGAGTGGGAAGTCATGACGAGTAGGGTGCAGCAGGTCGGGTTTGAGGATCAGTACTCGCCGGTGACATTCGCTAGGGGTTGTGCCATATCGTGAATTGGCAGAAGTTGGAATTCATGGCCTGGGGGCCATTTGGTCGAGTCCCAGTGGCTTTATGGTCTACGAGCTGGCTTGCCTCGTAACCAGAAAGTTCTGGTTTAGAATCCCAGTGGGTGAGTACTGATGAAGAGTCCTAAACTAGGACGAAGGAAACAGCTGTCCAGTACTTCCTATAGGTTTTCCAATGGTCCTGTAACTGACGTCACTTCATTATGAAATCCTGTAACCAATCAAACCAAATCCATACAGACTAACACTAGACTACTCATCTTTCTTGGATGAATTATTCTACACTCATCTAATTTCCTATGTTCTGATAACCTGACAGACCTCAGTCTATTGGTCCAACCTGTATACTTGTCTTCACAGAGATTTATGAGTATTCTGGAGACTAAATGCATGGCTTCTACAGTGTTTAACGAGTAAAAAAGAATATGAGCAACTCCATTCAGAATTCTTAACAGCATTACATTCAAGGTTCAACACAGAAACAAACGTCATTACTCAAAAACGTTTACTGGCCTCGTTAGACAAGGTAAATCAGTCTATGGAAGCCGAAATTCTAGCTAAATATGAGTGATGAATAAACTTCTGAATACTACAGTTAGAGTTGTGGAAGAAATGATGGGACAGGGTAATAGTAATCTGAACAGCTTTATTCTAAAAAGTTAGTTTTAAACGTAGTACAGAATTTTCAGCTTGTTGTATTGCAAGACATTCAGTCATTGTGAAAGATCTTCAAGTGAAATAATAATCAATAATGCATTCATTGAGGCTTTTTAAAAATGTTCATGATCCATGAATTTAGTTGGAAAGTTAAAACTACATGAAATGCAGTTAATAAGATGCATTTTTATGGATGGAAAAAAATTTTGTAGCCCAGTGATTTAAACTTACCGCCAGATGAATCACCCTGAAAGATTAATGTATTTTAATGGATTGGCCAATGAATCTAAGTTTTATCCAACAAAATTTATTTATCTGAAACGTGTAGTGTATTTACGCAACACATTTCGGACAACATTCTGATCACAGTTTTATAGAGGGCAAGAGGGCATGAATCACCACAACACAGGTCAGGTTGTGTACAGGTCAAGGTCACGATTAATTGGTAGGGTGATGGCGCGAAGGTGTAGGTAAGAAAGAAAGACAAAGCAAAGAAGGGGTTGAAAATATTATTAAGTAAATTGGTGCTTGGTTCTAAATTGAATTACCAAGGCAGGTTTAAAGTGATAACAAATAACTTTTGGACACATAACACAAGTTTAAGTTATTAAGAAGACAATTGCAGCGAAGAAAATTTTCTTTTCGACGAAGTCATCATCTAGGCTGTACATTCGTGTATTTATATCAAATGGATGGGAAAGTTCCAGAATAATATCCGGTCAAGGGTCAAATTAATAAAAATTAAAATTAGGAATTAGAATGCCATAATAAACAGTGGGATGGATAAAACAAACAAAGTAGCATCATAATAACTAAGAAGACTGACATTGTGCAATTAGGGGTTAGAAATGTTTAAGTTTAAGTCTTTTTATGGCTAAGGCTTCAATGAATTTAAGTATGTGGCCCAACCCTGTTTTATATATCGGCTTAAAGGCATTATTGAAATCAACCTTATGACCCATCTCTATAATGTACTTCGCTATAGATGATGTTGGACATCTATTTCCGGGTCAGTCGTGTCCGGCGATTTCATTTGTTGTTGCAGCCACTTTGGAATATGTTTTGTAGCTCTAACCTGCAGAGACTGATGAGTCCTCCCTAAACCTGCCTTATGTGTCCAAAAGTTACTTGTTATTACTTTACACCTGCCTTGGTAATTCAATTTAGAACCAAGCACCAATTTACTTAATAATATTTTCAACCCCTTCTTTGCTTTGTCTTTCTTTCTTACCTACACCTTCGCGCCATCACCCTACCAATTAATCGTGACCTTGACCTGTACACAACTTGACCTGTGTTGTGGTGATTCATGCCCTCTTGCCTTCTATAAAATTGTGTATGACAAGTACGTGAGTGGGTGATCAGAATGTTGTCCTAAATTTGCTGCGCAAATACATTACACGGTTCAGATTACCTATGTCTTCACATTGTGTTGTTGAAATTCACAAAGGGAACTAATTGATTTAAACTTTTACTCAGTATCTGTCTCAGATTACTCCTAAGATTATTCATTAAATCTGTTTCTGAGTGTTTCAGAGTGAATGGTTCCATTTCTACAACTATGAATGCTATTCAGTAAATAATATACTATTTACTATGATGATCGATATATCATATATATTATCCGATATTCATGAAGAATACATGATTAGGTCGTAGAAATGTTTAACACAGCTGTGATTACTGATAACAACCACCAAGGCACTGTGTCGATTAACTCCTCCTAGAATCAAAACCTGAGGTTGATTTGAATTAACTGCTTTATATAACTGCACTGAACATTACTCGATATTGGTTCGGTCACAAGTCGATATCAGGTGGAGGGAGAATCAGAGAGTACTAGATATGTGTTTCTTCCTACTTTGGGACTCTTCATCACTGTGTATCCACCGGGATTCAAACCCAGAACCTTCCTGTTACAAGACGAAGTTTTAGACCATTCAGCCCCTAAGACCCGTTTCAAGAATACATAGATTTCAACTTCTGCCAATCCATGATAGGTGGCACAAACGCCAGACAATGTCGTTGGCGAGCAAATGTTCTCTTACCTAATTTGGTGGACTCTACCTGTTTCCAGTGTTTCTGTAAGTGCTGTCAGCTCCTGATCAAACCTGTAACCAATCAAATCTCTACAAACCAACACTTGATAAATTGTCGATATTGTTTACACAACAACAGAAACCCTTAACCTCAGGTAACCGAAATAACTATTTAATTTTGTGATTGTATTAAGTGATTTGTTTACGAATCTACTGGCCGATAATTTCCACCAATCACATAGTAGGCAATAAGTTCACCAGCATTTTACACCAGATTACACTGCAATGCACCATTACGAACATTTCGTATAACTTTCTTCAAGTTTTATCGTTTGAAATAATTGAATATTTCTACGAATGAGGCATTTGTAACATCGAATTCATTCATATATATACACACATGACTGATTGTCAAGTTATTGTTTAAAATACAGAATTTTTCAAATTAATACTTTAAATGCAACGTTTCCAGCATTATGAGTAGATCAGGATCCTCTTATAAGCACCACACATCTACAAGTTCAGTTAACCAGTTGAATTATCCTCAAACAGACAAACCTTCACCTTTTAAAAAGATTTCCAATTCACTTCGTACCTCGCCAACATTTTCAACACATTCAGCACCATTTCTGAATCAAATAACCGACCAGGGTGTGCCACTGAAATCATCAGGTGTCTGTGAATCGAACCATGCTTCATTTTCCATGGCAAATGTAAAAGAAGTCTTAGAACGACTTAAAAATGAAGTAGAAGTTGAAAGAACCAGGCGAACAATGTTGGCAAGACAAAGAAGTCAAGATATTTATAAGTTGACAACACGTTCTAAAGCAGAGAATCGTATCTTATTGTCAGCTTTAAAACATGCAGAAAATAAGGCGAAAATGTATCGAGATGAATATCATAAGCTTAAAAGTAAAGGTAAGTGACAAACAAACAAACAGAACTGATTCCTTGCTTTGTAGACATGCAAAATATACGTGATTTTGTCTTGTTTTATTATTAAATATTATTATTGCTCCCCTGGGTTCCTAGTGGAACATAGGGCTTCAACTCCACGTCTCCACTTCCTTCTGCTGTACTCTTCACCTGCATCCATCCATGTTAGTCCATACTGTTTCAACTCCTCCAACTCACACGATCTCCTCCATGTCACTCTTGCACTGACGTCCCACACGCCACGTGCTTCCCTTTCGGCCTGGTTCCACTCGACCAATGGCCTGACGCGCGCGCGATGTCACCCAGTGGCCTCCTCACTCAGTGAGTGTCCGATTCATCTCCACTTTCTCCTGCATATTTGTTGGTTGGCGATTGGTTCTTGTTTTGTCTCTTCCCATAGTTTCTTGTTGGTGATTCTTTCCGGCCCTTCCATCTGATCTTCAGTATAGAGCCAGCGAAGGCAGTAGGTTGTTGATAAAGGTCTGCATGCAACAGGCTGTTGGAAATATTCTTTGTGACCCGCCCACCCGCCAACTTTCTGATCCGTATAGAAGAACTGACTGACTTGACGTTTGTATTGAAAATCCGACCGAATTTTGTTGCTGATGGTGGCTGAGTGACGAAGATTTCCAGATCGGTTTCAGGTTGATTGATGAACGTGTTTCTCGCCTTCCTGAGTTTTATTAATAAAACGAACCTAAATTATTGCAGATCCCTGTGTTCACCTACAATTCCTCGTAACACTATTATTTCGTACATATTTATTGCTTTAGGTGGAATCGGTGGTCCAGTGGTAAAATCTGATACGATCATGCATCTGTTCTGAGTGAGATTTCCGGCCGAGAGAAGCCAGACGTGGCTGGTTGTAAGACCGAAAGAGACAGAAGGTTGGGCGGCGCCGGTAAGTTCCAATAGCCACCACCACCACCACTAACCTTACCATAAATCTAGGACAACTAATCAGAATTAAGGCGCAATAAAAAAGTCGTGAAGTTGCTAGGAGTAGATAATCAGAGGTAATTGTGTTCTGATTCTGAAGTGTTAGTTTTATGGGATTTGGTTGGTTACAGGTCTGATAATGAGCTGATATCAGTTAGGGAACCAATGGAAATCACCAAGGAGTATTGAGTGGGTTTATCATCCCAGTTTGAGGGTTTTCAGAAGCACACAGCTACCGCGATTCCAGTCAACAGCCTTCCGGTTACAAAGTGAGTTTGTAGACAATTCAGCCACTGAAACCCTGTCCAGTGGACCATGAACTCCAGCTTCTGCCTATTGGGACAGACAGAACAATTGTCAGTCAATGTCATAGGTAAGTGACTGTTCTCTTACCTGACCTGTTGGACCCTGCTGGTTGTTACTTCTCACTAGAACCACCTTAAAGTAATACTGTGAAGTGTACAGAAGGATAGGATGGGTATTGATTTGCACCAGCTGTCTAAAAGTCGATTGAGAGAGTGGTAAAACAAATTCATATCTCATCAGTGGTCGAACAGACTTCACGACCGATTAGTTACTGCTATACTACATTAAGAAACAATTCTCTGCTAACTACTAACTAATGTAATCAGAAGGTCCTGGGTTCGAACCCTGGCGGTGGGTGCATACCGATGAATAATCCCAAATTAGGACTAAGGAAACAGCTGTCCAGTACTCCTTGCAAGTTTTTCAATGGTTCTCTAATCGATGTCAGTTCATGATTAAATCTTGTAACCAATGAAATCAAATCCCTGAAGACCAGTACTTGTATTCAGTTTCACTTGTTAGATGTCGTCACGAATCAACATCAGTTACAAAGATCAGTAAAAACTAGGGGACTCTGAATTTCTGTTTAGTCTTATTTCGACAGTTTTCAGTACTGAGAACCAACGAACTTGCTTGGGATCAAACAGGGACCTTCAGGTTAGGCTAGATTACAAAGATCTATGAATTCTAAGTTTGTCAACCCTCACCGGTACATCCGCTTTCGACCTAATTGACTAACTGGTCAACAAAATTTAGTCTGCGTCGGTGGCACAGTGGTTAGGACTCTCGCCGACCATGCACATGGTCCGGGGTTCGAGCCCACGCCGACGCACACCTGATATCTATGGTCGGCCTGCAAAATTTGGGCTACCGATATCCACGCTGAAAATTCCATACTTGTACCAAAAATACGGTGTGGAATCAAGCTGTTATCAAAAATAAAAAAATAAAATAAAAAAATAAACTTCCTGGGTTCCATCCCTAGCTGGGTTGTAGGCTGACAATACTAAGGATTTCCAAACTAGGACCAAACAGCCTTCCAGTGCTCTCTGGTTCTCAATGTTCTCTTTAACTGATGTTCATGGTCAAAAGTTTCTTTCTTCAACTTAGAGTGTAAGGTTATTAATACACTTGATTTGAGATTTAGAACTACTTGGGAGATTTCCTATTCAGGGATGGCCATACGTACAGACGGAGGAACACAAAAAATTGACTCGGAAAACAGTATGCAATTTAATCACTGTGTCGATGGAATTTATGTTACTTACAGTATGTTCAAATGTTTGTATATCATTGATACTGTAATCGATGAGGTCATATTATCCTTATAATGTCTGTGAATAGTTTATACACTGTGGAATAGATGAACAAATTATAAATTGTATTTCAACGTCTGTTTACACAGAGTGATTGATTTTTTTTTGATTTACCAGCGGTATTAAGGCCTGGAATCACACCAGCTGTTAGAATCGTTTTTCTTTTTTGTAATTCACACATATTACCTAGCGCCGGGTTCAGGGTGATCAAGAATGCTCTGACCCCGGGTGAAGGCTCACCATTGCACCTCGGTGGGTCGAAACTCGCGACGGACCCTAATCGGGTGCGCTCGGGCGTGTAGTTTTTGTCAGTGGGGAGGCCTCACGGTCCTCCTTTTATGTGCGTCGATGGCACAGTGGTTAGGATTCTCACCGACCATGCACATGGTCTGAGGTTCGATCCCCTGCCGACGCACACCTGATATCTATGGTTGGTCTGCAAAATTTGGGCTACCGATATCACATGCTGAAAATTCCGTACCTGTACCAAAAATACGGTGTGGAATCAAGCTGTAATCAAAAATAAAATAAATAAAAAAAAAATCAATTTGGTTTTTATTCACTTTTGCGAATCTAGAATTATATTCTGAGTTGTAGTGCTGAATAACCTTTGTTGCATGTGTTTTCGCGGGGGTGATATTACTGAATATAAATTCCGTCTTAATAAGTCTTTCTTTTCATTTGTTCAGAATGGATTTCAGAAAAATAAATATTGTCCCAGTGTCAATGGGAGACATTATAGCGTACTAAGATGATTCCGGCCATACTCATATAGTAAATCCATATTTTCGCATTCTACGATGTGCTAACGTTGTACACAGTCAAAAAAATGAACAACGCTGAATTAAGAAACACAAATGAAAACTTGAAAAGATGTATTGTTGACTAAATCGAATAATGAATACGAACGAAAAGTGTATAACCGCGTAAAAATACATATGCGTAACAAACGAAAAGGAATATTCAATAATGCAGTGTTAAATATTCAACAGACTTAAGTAAAATTAGAGGGCAAGTTACCTTTGGACTGGTAGAAAGGTTACTTATTCAAACTACCAAAGAAAGGGGACTTAAGTCAACGCAAGAACTGGCGCAAAATTATGCTCCTGTCCATCCCAAGCAAAATACTAAACCGCATCATCCTAGAGAGAATCAAACAAACCACCCTGGATGAAAAACTTCAACCGGAACAGGCTGAATTCATAAGGAACAAGTCATGCGTCGATCAAATGGCAACATTACATTTCATCATTGAACAGAGATTGGAATGGCAATCAGCTCTCTCTCTCTGTCTCTCAACCTCATCGAGTTTGAAAAGCCTTCGACACCGTTGGTCGAGAGGTAATTTGGCAACTACTTCGCTAATATGGGGTGCCACCAACAATTATAAATTTCTTAGAATCCCGATGGGTGCATACTGATGAAGAGTCTCAAAATAGGACGAAACAGCTGTCCAGTACTCTCAGGTTTTCCAATGGTTCTCTAACTAATGTCAGATCATGGTTAAAATCCTGTAATTATACATTTCATCCAACATTTGTAAGACGACGCTACATGCCAAGTAATCCACAGCGGGAAACTCACGGAATCCTTCGAAGCGTAGACGGGAGTAAGGCAAGGCTGGCTGGTTGCCTACTATCTCAATGATTTTCCTGATTGCAGTAGATTGGATAATGCGACAGACAGTGGGCAACGAGGAGACAGACATAAAATGGACCCACACAAAAGAACTTGGAGGATCTGGACTTCGCCATCGATGACAAATGTCTGATTTCCTACAAATTGGAAGATATATAAGTGAAAAGCAACAAGTTGGCAGAAGAAGCACCAGGGAAGACAGGCCTTCATGTTAATATAGAGAAAACAGATGCAGGTGATGAAGATTCTTGGCCAACAGCAGCGGCAACAGCAACAGATAATTAAAACAATTAGTCCCTTTGATAAATTTGAACAAGGCATTAAGAAGACAAATTTCGCGAGATGATATCATTTCGTAGTTTCTTTACAACCACTTTACAACACTAACATGGTTAACAATGATAAAATAAAGTTCATGAAAATTACTCAGTTAAATAAAAACAAAAGTACATACTAATGACCAATCATATTAAGATAGGTCATGCAGTCCAGGGTAGGCGAAGATTGAAGTCTATTGATTTTTGTACACACAGTTTAGGCTGTATGTGATTAATCCAAAGTGCTTCCATCACCTTCAATAACCTTGAGTTAGAGTTATGTGAAATAATTGTGAAACAGTCATTAATATTGATTTTGTGACCAGACATTAATAAGTGTTTTGCAATGGATGATGCTGGATTTCTATTCAGATTAATCGCGTTGGGATTTTCGATATGATTTACTAGCCATTTTGGAATATGTTCTTTTCGACGACATTGGAACATTCTATATAGGTAGAACTAACAGAATGT